TTCCCTTTAAACCTAGCCAAAAAGCCATATGTGTTGACTGTGAAACACAGTAGACTTTAATAATATGCATTTATGGTGTAATTACTACATGTTCGTGTCAATCCATGTTCATATTTACTGCAAAAATGCGCTGTTACATTAATTCAGCGCTTGCAGCGCAACAAAAATAGACTTGGTGCGGAAACGATCTCTGCACTGCTGCAGACACACCGCTCCTGAACGCACTGCCGCACAGCAACGGTGTGCAGTGTGCGTGCTTTATTAATCCGTTAACATGAGCGCGGTCCGATTTTCACATTGGTGTGAACAAAAAAAAGGAAAGAAAATTGAATGAAAATGTAAATCCACTGTCTGACAGCAGGTGGCGCTTATGTAACAGCAGAAATAGAACTCTTTCCCCGATAACCGCTGTAAACAAAGAAGTGCTGCTTAGAAACACTGCTTTATTAGGCTTTCTCCAATAGTAAGTAATACAGACCCTCTCATCCAGTGGCATGCACAGGAGGTGGGGTGGGGGGCGCCTTTTTAAAATAGTTCTCTATTGGCAGTGAGCGTTTTGCGCACTGTTTATGCGCCCCGGGCCCCTCGCGTTTTTGTAGGAGTGCTCTGAGTGCCTGGAAAAATCAACTCTGGCGGGCCTTCCATTGTGGTGACAGAAATTTATAGTTGCTTGGAACTTCCGGAAACTGCAATGATGGAGGAGAAACTTGTGGTGGCTTTTGCGTTACCACAGCAAACGAAAGATTTTAGAGCGCTTGCGCTATAATCCTTGATTAGACTGACAGGACAGCTGATTCAGTGTGCCTAGCAACATAAAAAATTCAGTGCACTGCTCTTTTCTAATTAAAAAAGTCAACCAAAAAAACCAAGCCTGAAAAACACGTTCTGTCTATCGGGGCCTTAGTTGTCTTTCGTGATTTTGGAGGAGGAAGTGTCGTGGTTTGGGGGATGTTTTCTGCAGCGTGACTTGGGCCTCTTCTACAGCGACATGGCAGAGTGAATGCAAATGTTTATCAGAAGCTCCTTCAGCAACATGCAGTTCCTTCCCTGCAAGCATCTGCAAATCAGCCCACAATTTTCACGCAAGATAATGCTCCATCTCACACTGCAAAATCGGTAAAGCAGTTCCTTGAAGCTAAGAACATTGAAATAATGAAATGGCCGGTCCCGGTTCTGGTCCTGATCTAAAACCAACTGAAAATCTCTGGAAAATCATTGGAGACAAAGTTATGGCTAAGAAACCTCAAAGCAAGGGCCTCTACACTTCCTACTAATTTCTGACAGCTGTGACCCTCCAAAATTTTAGTTGTAATCTTCTTTCATGCTACAGTGGTTACTGTTCTCTAATTTTAATCACTGTTTACCACAAAATAAAGTTTTTTGTATAAATGCCTTGGATATTTTGTCAAACATGTTAGAATAGTGGTATACCTACAGCTAATATTCCTTCAAATTTTGAGTGATAAAGTAGCCTATTTATAGATTGTCCTCTAATTTTGATCTCCACTGTGTGTGTGTTTGTGTGTGTGTAGCTGTAAAAACCTGTAAAAATGGTGCCTATAGCTGTGAAAATCAGTATGTGTGTTACATATTGTAGTATCAGGAGTATACGTTTATTACACCACCTCCTAATGAAGGCAGGAGGAGCCTCCACAAATCATAATTCTGTATTACAAAAAAAATCTAACGCAAAATGTATTTAAGTATCACAATTTTGTTATAGCATGGACCATCAGAGATTAAAACACCAATTAAAACATCTGTGTCAATAATAAAATCCATAAAAGTAGGAATGCACTCTCCTTTAGATTGCAGGAAGGGTATAGGGCCTGCTCTCATGCACCACCTGTAAGGCCAGAAGGAGAAAACCAATGAAAAGGCCTGAAGAAGAAAACAAGAAAACGCACAGCATGCACCTCAAACACAACAACAACCACCTTTATTTAACACTACAGTGCCAACCGTCTGATACACACCACACAGCCCATGCCACACCACCTGGATCACCTACACCAGAGGAGGCTAAGTGTCAATGCGGCCAGGTGTCCTGACATTTCATCCTACCCGTCATCCTACCAGGGCTTACTGCACATGCGCACATCAATATGGTGTCATTTTGTCACACTGAACACCACATTATTACTGTACTTGCATTATTCTATGGGTAGGTTTAGGGTTGGGTTAGGTGTAGACATTAATAAAGCAAGTACAAAACCAAAAAGCACCCTGTAGGCTACAAACAAAAAGAGGAGGGCAATACCACACAGATATAATAAAACAACAAAATATTTAATAGTGCAATGAAATCAAAAAAAAAAAAAAAACACACACACACACACACACACACACGAAACGGTGACTGGTCTGCTCTTTAGCAAAAGTACACTGCAGTAAACCACAATTACCAAATCTCTGTGCTCCCAAAACCAAACTCCGAATACAGAGGGAATATGGTTATGGAGCGCTCATACACAGCCATCCGCCCATAGGAGGTAGCGCAACAGTAAATATTTGTCTGGCCCACTTCCCTCACCGGGGGGTGAACAAAGGCCTCCTGTAGCGAATCACGGAAGCAGCTCCGGGCGGATGACGTATGAGGTCAGCTTTGCAAGCTGCAGGGGAGAGATCAAAACAAAACACCGGTCACTTATTAGGAGTACAAAACGAGGATTTGTAAAGAACAATGTCAGGATTTCGATATAAGCCAAGAGGAGACTGGTTTTCCTTTGCTAAAGTAAGGAAACTTTGCTTCCATTGCTCCTGTTAACAAACGTTGGTTTTCACGAGACTCACCGGCACATGTGCAACGCTGTAATCCGCCCGGAACTGCTTCCATGTAGGACTGTTGATGCAAGCTACATTAAAGTGCTTACGTTTTGAATATGGATATTTTTCTTACAAAAACGCATCGATTCGCTACAGGAGGCCTTTGTTCACCCCCCGGAGCCGTGTGAGACACTTTTTTTTTTATGGATGGGCGCTTTTTATTTAACTTCTTTTGGACTGATGCATGCAACACCCGCTGAGTGGCATTAAACAGTGTTACGTCCCCTGGTGGCATAGAGGTATGAGGAAGACGTACATAATAAAATGTAAACAACCCTATAATTTTGGTCTCTGGGGAGTATGACACAAGGACAACCGACATAACAAGTGGTTCGCTTTATTTACAAAAGGGAATATAATTTACACAAATGAAAACACACCAACCAAAACCCTCATTTACAGCTGTATACAAAGAAAGGAAATATAAGGCTAATTTGGAAAGCCTCGGAGAATAAGAAAATGAGCAGTGCGAAACAAACGAAAATAACAAAAGCAGAACATTCACCAACTAATTCTCCACCCTCTAAACCAGTGTTTCCCAACCGGGGTGCCGTGTAAAAAATCCTTTAATATTTTTAAATTGCTAAAATGTTCAAAAAAGCATCTATTATATAATATCCATTTCTGATGTCGCCAATAATTAGAGACGCACCGAAATTTCGGCTGCCGAAAAGGAGTTCACTGCTCAGGTTTCTCTGTCACATGGTGTGACTCTCTGCGTATTATCCCGCTCTATGTGCGTGTGCTCCGCTCAGTCGCTCCACTCGTATACCGTTCATGAGAATCGGAACAGCAAAGTCCACTCAAAAATTGAGCCGACAGGAAACATCGATGTAGTACAGTATTGTTTCTGTCTGCAATAACCCTACTGTGCTGTAACAAGGTGTGGTAAATGGGCAACTCTGGTAACGCTGCCCTCTCATTCATTGATCTGCTAACCGTTATGCTCACGTGTCCTCTGATAATAATAGCTTTCTAGGATTAAACATTATTTGGATAATTGGT